GGCCTCACAAGAGCAGAGTAGAGGGGAACAATCACCTCTCTGTCCCTGCTGGCCACCCCTCTTTTGATGGGAATCATCCTTGCAGGATAGAAAGGCCCATTAACAGAGAAACAACTGATAGTCATGATAACCACATGCATAGCCTGGTCTCCCTGATCAGACCAAAGAGTCAAACCCACTAGAAAGGGCTCCCCTAGAAATAGCTGCCTGGATTCTACTTGCTCTGAGAGCAGCCACAAAGACCACCAGTTCTACCTAGGAAACTGACTTAAACCCCAAGAGGAAGCCAAGCCTGGTTTATATAAAGGAGAATGCCAGGGCTCTGGATGGCACAAAAGCTCCTAAGGGCTCTTTAAAATATATCTACAAGGTCATCAGTGGAGAAGGGGAGCAGATCAGGGCTTTCAAGTGTGAACACTGACTGTCACATTCTCTTCCTGGACCACGTCATATATACCATCCACATGGGCTGCCACGGCTACTGGGACCCTGTGGAGTGCAACATCTGTAGCTATCGAAGCAGGACTGCTACGAGTTCTAATCACACATTGTTTGAGGGCAGCTGACATTCCACTGGGCCTTCTCATCCAGAGGGAACTGTTATGAAGTACTTTATTTCCACATCGGTTCTTCATAACATGAAATGAATAACAACAGGGCTACCATCTCTTTAAGTAGTTTTATAAAAGTGTTTGACTTACTGTGAGAATGAAATGATGATGCATTTAGAACTGGCAAGATAAGTATTTTATGGTCTCTGCTGCCATCTAGTGTCATTTTTTGGTACTAACAATTCTTTTTGAGATTCTCGTCATTCCAATAAAGGGGCGTCTTTAATAATCCCTATCACTTGTCCTTTAGGTAATCTTTCCATGCTTATGCATACTTAGTAGATAAGATTAAATAATTAAAAGTACAAAAATTTAACTTTTGTATTATAGACTATTCTGTTTTGCCAAGAGGCCCTCAGCAAAAAAACAACTTAAGGGACCTCTTACACAAGGTCAAACTGTCCCTCTCTTGGATTAGGAGGAATGTAACTAATGCTCCCCTACATCTTTCCTTCAAACTTACCTCTATCCCAGGACAGCAGGTGGTCTAGTGCTGAATGAGCAAATGTGAGAAGTTAATTAATTAGCAATATATGCTTAGCTAGCAACAATTTATGTTTAGCCAGTATCCGTATGTTTAGTTGAATGTCGGGAAAATTGTGAACCTGAAGTACTCAGCCAATGAGGAACCAGGGCAGGAAGAGATAAGCATTGGGTAATAGGGAATAAAAGATGTAACACTGTTTTCTCAGGGCTCTCCTGCTTGCAGGAGGCCCGCCATTGCAATTGCAAATAAAATCTGCTTTATCAGAGATACCATCCTGATAAATTATTTGGATATTTCCAACACTTACTGAGATACCATTACCATTACCTGAATACTTGAAATTACAATGCAAGGAAATTTTGACAATGAATTTCAGTACAGTATTTTACAATCCACTGCTGCTGATCCCAGTTTATGTCTGAATTCATTAGAGCATATATACACAAACAATGATTCTTGAAGAAAATTAAAAAGACACCACAAGAAAAGGGCGCTGGAGATACCAATATAACAAAGAGTTGAAATCACAAATTCAGTGTAGCATATAATAATAATGCAAACAAGAGAAATTAAACAGGCTTTTTTTTTTTTTCTTTTTTTTTTTTTTCTTTTTTTTTCTTTTTCTGGAACACAAACATATGCATTAAAATATAAGCTTCCAATGCTAGATCAGATGAAGACATGACACATTTACTGTACAATTTCATATACAAACATTTCCTGAGCTACCTGGAGCAATAAGGCTTTGTTAGTTCTTAGATCAGCAGCGCAGCATTTCATTCATTTTTTTCATGTCATTCTCATAAGGCAAAATTCTAAATAGGAGTTTTTTTAATGCTTGAAAAGTAGGACTAATTGGCAGTTACATATGAATATGTAGTTGTTATGCAGTATAAATTTACACAGCTCAAGCTGCTAAAGCAGTGGTGGGGGTAGTAGTGGGAGACAAATTTATTAATCTCTGCTGAAAGTCCAATATTATCTGGGATAGCAGATGTTGTGGGTTATCCATGTGATGTTTCCACCACATCCCCATAAAGAACAGAGAAGTGCACTGTTGGTTCATATTAACAACTTTTTATCTCTACAGAACATGCTATAAAAAATTAACAGACTTGTTAGCTTACAATGTTTAAGTAAACTTTACTTCAGACTTCAAGGACATTGTCAATTCAACACACTAGTAGGTTTGCTTTAACTTTTGGCCTTTCACAGACTTTTTTCCCAGCTGATTCCTTGTTTGCAGTATTTTAAAACCATTTCTGGTGCTTGGGATATCCAGTCCCCTCTCCCCATCCTAATAAAGCAGAAAGGACACAAACATGTCACTTAAACAAAAGACAGAAAAAATGGAGTAAGTGGAATCTGAGACTGCAAGAACATATACAAGCACATACCTTTTTTCCTGAACTAAACATTTCAACCATGAAAATATTAAGCAGCCATACCCTACAGAACTAGGGATAAGGCTATTTCAATTATAACTATTTTCTATTTAAAAAATATAGGGCTGAAAGCCTTTTGGGAGATACTTATACATTAACAACATTTTAGTTCCCTACATGAATCATAAAGCATTATGCAGAACACAAACTATTTTTCACAGCTTAATCTTGCGCTATCCTGTTTAATTTAATCTCTCTTGTAAATATGTTAGATAACTAGATTTCATTGTAAGAATTAACATAAACAGAATGTTTACAAGGCTTTTTTCTTCTCCTTGTGAGCTGCATACGGTAAAATATCCATCAAATGTTTTGAAATCGGCAGATTTTCCTCCTGGTAAAACAGTGAAGCAAGGTTAGCTTTCACAGCCAGTGAAAAGGTAAAAGAGGATAATCCCTGTATCATCAGAAACTCTTTTCCACTGCTCTTGTTAGAATATACATGACAAAAGGAGGCATTTACTCTAAGGTCTTATCATTCTTTCCAATGAGCATGTACCACTTTGACTTGAAAAACTCTTTAAACGAGTTAAAACTGTAATGTCTTGGTTCTTAGTAGGCCTGAATCGGATTTTCCCTCTTGTAGTTTAGAAGAAAGAAGGAAATACTCTTTTCAAGACTGGAGGTTCAGTTTTAGTTTCCCGTTGTCCTGTTTCAGCTCCAGCATATAGAAGCCTCTTCGAAACAGCTGCTGTCCCAGTGCTTTGAGCTACAGTTATGCTTTAACTCGTGCTACATGCTACTTCAAGTTCATTTCTGACTATGGCTAACAGCGCGACTCAAAGAAGTTTATTTTCCTCCCGTCAAATAAGAAAAGAGCTGACCACACCTGAAAAGTGAATTCAGTCTAAAGAGCAATAAAATGTCACTGTAAATCAGAATAGAAGTGAATATTAACAGATTATAAAAGGAAGCAAAAGATGTTATTATTTCAGTAAGAACTTATTACAAAAGTTACTAGCTGTGTAAGCAGTGTAGGGTGAGCTACAATAGAAACTCGCCCCAAGAACTTGTTCTAATCTTTATGGAACTGTTTTCTGATGCTCCAAAATGTTGAAAGTCTGGAATCCATGTACAAACTTTCAAGTCCTCCAAGTTCTAGCTAATATTTTATTATCAGTTCATCACCAAAAATGGTAAGTATTATCATTTTTAAAATCCAGTTATTTGGTACATCTTCCTGATAAACCAATGAAGTCTTCAGAGAAAACTGTCTGCAGCATGGAAGAATAACACTGAGTATAATTTCCATTAACACTTCCGACAAGAAACATCAGACTGCAAATGGGAATCTAAATTGCATCCATGCAATCCCAGGTGGTCTTGTCTTTTGCAAAACAAATGAAGAACCACAGTGTTAATATAGTTTTAAAAGTTAGATGTGTTACACAGAAAAAAAGATGAGAACTCTTTGAAGGGCACAATCAAATGTTCCAGCAACTTTGGGCAAGCATTTATTTTTCAGAAATCAACAAGATTGTGAGAAAAACAAAGCAAAGCTATGCTCTGGATTTGTGCCACAGTTTGACATCCCTTTAACAGCAGTCTGAGTCCCACTGGCATGTGAGCAGACTCCAGGCAAGGAAAAAACAGTTCAGCCACACTTGAGTTAGAAACGTAACTTAAGCTATGAATTTGCTCACAGTAGGCAGAGGACAGCTACAAGTTGGCTCTAATAACACTGCTGTAAAGAGGTTATGATGTTGCTGCAGCATTGCAGCTGCTAATGAACTTCCCAGTATGTCAGTAGCAAAATATGCTACTAAAAAGGAAAGACAAAACTATTTTAAAAAAAATCTTTCAGTCATTAAGGACACATTCTAAGTAATGAAAAGTAAAACAAAGTAGAGCCCAAAACTGTGTTAAATCTCTCCTTGGATCATAATTCCTTTGTAGCCATATCTGGTTGCTCTTTTGATTTCTGAAAGTGCTCAGTAGAAATCCAGAGTTAATGCAGAGAAAACTTCAGGATAACATCCATTGACTTACACACTAATAGTGTACATAAATCCAAGTCAAGTGTACTTTACAATGAAGCGTGCAACAAGCAGAAGAAGCGAAGAACAACACTGTGTTGAGTTCACATTCTCCAAGGTGCAAATCATAGCTATTCCTGCCCAAAACCTTCTTTCTGTTTCTTCAATTGCAAATAACAGCTTTTTCTTCAACTGCTCATAATTCTTATAGGGTGGAAGGTCTAAGCGACTGAAACTGAAAACAAAGAAAAACCTAAAGTATTGAAGAATAATTTAAACCACCAAAAAAATCCATTAGGAATACAGGCATATGAACTTTCCTGTTTAGAGAGATAACTGGATTTATACCCTCTAAAACAGCTGTATCTTGATGTGCATTTATCTATGAGAGTTAAAGCACAAGCACTTGAACAACAGTAATTTTCCAGAAATGGCAATGTACTTAGTAAGAAGTCTCACTTTATCTCTCTTTTGTATTTGAAATTTAAAATTTGAGCATTTTCACAAAGCACCAGTGTAACTGAGAAACTGAGCAGAAGCTACATTTTCTCTAGAGAAGAGGGAGCATGAATGTGGCTATTTATTTTCATTGACAAGATAGAGCGTGGTGATAATGAAAAATCAATTCCAAACTCTTTAGAAAAAAGTAGTTTATTACTTTATGTTTTTAGTAGTGTGCAAATCCATGGCATTTACAATGGAATTGGCTCCAGAACAAAACTGTTTTTCAGAAGTTCAACTATTATTCAACAAAGCTTACTGGCATAACCCAGTGTTTTGCTTTCATACAGTGTCAACCACTTTTGTATATTACCCACTTACTAAAATCTCAAAGTAGATTGTCATCAGTAAAACAGAACTGTAGTAGAATTTTATCCCACGTACTTACCAGGTGTGACTTCTAGGTAACCAGTTCTCCTTCCCAACTTTCTCAATACAAAATTTTGGGGGTCCATTGCTCCCTGCAAAAAAATCCATAACGAAGTCTTAGGTCTAGCTGCCTACGTATACTGGTAGGCAATACATGACAATTGAGCGTGAAAGGCTTGAAGAGAAAACAAGATTATAACTACTTGCAGAGAACAAAGACATATGTCTTCCAGTATATGTCTCTGAAGAAATCCTTGTAGTGACGTGCATCAATAAGAAGTGGTTTTGAAAGAAACTCAATCACTGAATCACATAATTGCTTTGGTATTGGAAGGAGTCTCTGGAGTTTCCTTCCACTCTGATCAAGCAGGGATACCCAGAACAGGCTGCCCTGCCAGGACCACATCCAAACCATGTATCAAATCACTGATGCAAGGCATGTGTTAATATTCCCTCCATCTCTTTTTCTTCGTAACTCTAGCAATACGCAAGACTTAGAAAAAAGAATCAATATAAATTCATAAAAAATATCCTTAAGCATATAGCTTGGTCCTTATTAAAAAAAGGAATTAATATAAGCATAAAATGCATTAAAGAGGGCTTGTTACCCACGAGGTCAGCAAATCCTCCCACTGGTAATCTGCATGTTCCAGTAATGAACTGTAGAAGTCTCATTCTCTTCTCGTTATCTATTTCTTGCACAAACTGAAAAGTAATAATTAACATTGATGTAAAATCTAATATTTCTTTTTTCACTTCATCATCACCCCTGGAATAGCTGGATATTAAAAACCCCTGGAATTAGCAGTAATAATTTATATTTACACACTACAAATCTGTTGAGTAATTCTGACGGTTGTTCACTAAGCTGTTGCTGTGCTGTGCTCTTCTGAGGAAAAAAGAAGCCTACAAACCTGCCAGAACCACAGGATCTGTTTGCTGGTTCTGGTATAAGGCCAGTAGATGGTATGCCTCTGCCAGTCATTTAAATCAATTTCTTGCATTCCACACGAGCACCTTCAGGGGATAAAAAGGATAATAAACATGAAACTACAAGCTACTATTTTGCTTCTACAGCAAGACTACTCTACTCAAATTCTACTGTACTTCAAAGCACCTGCAATCACAGAAGAAAATTTGGAGAGGCCACACAATAGAAAAGCCATTCATGAAAATGTTTGTATTTAGACATTCAAACTAGGAACATATACTTTGTCATGGCTTAATCATACAATCTGATGTTTGGCTTCAGAGTATAATTTTGAGAGCTCAAAAGCAGCTAAAACCTGATCCACTCAGTAATTTGATCATCCGCTGATATTTGGTTTTTATCTCCCTTTCTTTCAAATTACTCATTCTTTAAAACATGCAAATAACATTGTCAAGGATTACAAAAGCAATTAGTCCAAAAATTTATAGTGGCAGAATCTTAATGTTAGAAATGTGTTTATTGGTTGCAAAGAAGAAGGTGAAGAAAAACACACTAACTAACTAAGGCTTCTCTCATGCATTCTGAAAACAGAACTGCCAGCCTTAGTGAACTCTGCTCTTCAAGCATTGGCTGAAATGTAAGCATTATATGTAGCAACATGGATCTGGCAATAGCCATAGAATCCTTTACCATCAAAATTCTTTAGCATCAAAATACTGCAGATACTGCTGTCGCAGAATTTCATTGAAGCCTTCAAAAGAAGCTTGTGTCTGTTCCTCAACACCTCGGGAAGATCTCCACTCTGCTACTAGCCTGTAAAAGATACAGAATGATAATTCAAAATGGACTATGCTAACCGAAGCTAAACTTCATTAGTTTATTTTTGAAATGAACTGTAAGCTATGTTGAGAAAAATTATGAAAAGTCTGGAAAGTTCTGGGGATAGAGCACTGTATAATTGTATATGCAACCTTCACTCTGTGCAAACATGGGAAGTATTTTAGGCTCAAACAGGAGGCAGCATCTACTCTCTGATGGTATTAATGAGAGCACAGCAGTCCCTTTTTTTTGGAGAAAAAAAAATGCAGCTATATTCATCTAATAATCTCCCCAGAAATCTCAGTCATTTTCTACAACAAGGTAAAATCTAGGTCAAGCAGTACTGGTGAAGATAAGTAGGACTGCTAGCTTACCAAGAAAGTCCATATGGAAAGTTCCGTTTGTTTCTCTTAATCACGAATCTTTGCTCTGTGGTAGAAACTTCACTCCCCATTAATAAAAAGCTGGCAAGAAGGCAGAAGACCTGAAGAACCTGAACCCAGGTAGAAGCAGATATTATACTGAATTCAAGCCTAACTTGTCAGCAGAACTGGAATCTGGAGAGATGAAAATCTAGGGAATGTAACACAGGACCCAGAGTATGACAAAAAAATATTACTTAAGCTGGACTCTGAGCTCTCCCTGGATTCATCAAAACTAGAAGAGAATGGTATTCTGCAGATACTCTTTACTCTCTATCCCAGTTAGTATTTTGCACAACTGCAAAATGTCAATATGTTCCTTCTGAAAATGTTACAATTTCTGTGAAATGTTTTCAGATGACTCATGATGAAAACAAATTCTACTCCCTCATCCTTCACATCGTCCATTCAATAGCAATAAATGGCTTGTGCTGTGTTCCACTGCTTTGTGCTCTTGACAGACTCTGATTCGGTTTGCCCTTTCCTAACCCCAAAGTATCAGGAGTGCCCGGCTGCTTTTGCTGCAGAGCCTTATTATCCAAGAACATGAAGACTTGGGAGAAAACCACGGCAGCCACGTATCTGCCCAGGGAAGATTTCATGCCCTGGCCTACACACAGCCCGGCTCTCCCCGCTCTGCACTCCTGGTGTCCCCTGCAGCCCCTGTGCTGTGACACAAGCGGGGCTCAGGCCCAATGCCCCCCTGCTGCACATGACATGCAGAAATCAAACTATAAGCAAAGAAGGTATGCTTAATCAGCGCTGCATACAGACCGGGTGCAGAGGGGGTATTCCCAGCTGGCCTGCATACTGGAGGGCAAGAAAGGCACGTACTTAAAGAACCAGCTGCTTACAAATGCTTTAGATTTCCAAGAAAATTTTGGGTTATTACGATAAGTCCCCAGAATGACTGACATTTTCTCTGCCCTGAATCTCAGTCCTTTTATGCATGTGTGGTATCTCTCAGGGTTCATCCGGTGGTCTTTTCTGATGAAGACTGTATGTCTTCCTCATTGTGTACTCTTGACCTGGGTCAAGTTGGAGGATGCTTGATTTGCCCTGGCCGGTCGTCTTATCAGCTACAACTCTGTCCACTAATCTGCTGCTTCTTCGTTAATTTGTGGTTTTACTGTCCGAGACTGCTACCTTGCATTCCAGAGATAGGATAGCTAACCATGTTATTTGGAGAAACAGGAGACCCACTGTCTGTACTGTCAAAGTCTGTAGAAAATGATCTGCTATCAGCAGCGAGAATCTGGCTTAGCAAGGTCAGAACTGCAGCTGCTGATTTAGCACCCCATGAAGGCACATAAATTTTAACCTAACTCATTTTCCTTAATTCATATATCCACCCACATACGGACCTTCTTTCACACTTACATCATTAAAGGCATATAGACACAAATCTACTAAGTGCTCTCACTCCTCAGATCTTTCAAATGAAATTGAATACAGTCTTTGTTTAAAGGATCATCTTTAAAGTTGTACACAATAAATCTAGAACTGGTAAAAATATGTTAGTAGCATTCCCACACTTCATCTCCACTGAATATTACACAGCACAAATCAGAGGGGGAGGACTCGATGACTGGTTCAGACTAGAAATATTTCCTTCTGCAACCATGGCATTAAAAGCTGATTGAGCGGCATTTCAATAAGCCCAAAAATGGGGGCCAAACACTTCATCTTCTTCTGAACTCCCAATCTTAGCCACCATTTTTTCCTAAAATTAATGCCCCGTTTATGTGCTTCTTCTGCATCTGCACAGCTACAGAGGCGGGAAGTTATCTTCCTTCCCAATGTAAATAACACAAATGTGCTTATCCACACTGAAGAAAGACTCAAGACCATTTAGGCGAATATGAAGTCAAAGATCATTTTTAAATGTCAGGAACACATAGACACAAATTAATCCAACATAGTTACGATAACATAAAATTAAGAAACAAAATTTCCAATTTTTAAAGACTGATTTTGTAATCACTTAGTCAACCAGCAACACTGATGGCCAACAATGGATCGTGAGCATGGCTTCAGTCAATGACCTGTCTTAGAGAGCCTGATGAGGCACCTACCTGATGGCTGTTCTATACTGGAATGTCCCCGAACACCTTTCCCACAATGTAATCTGTCAGTTAGTGATGGTTTTTAGAGGTAATAGTTAGGATATGATCGGTAAGGAACTTCATTTTCAGATTGGCAGAGTTTTTAGGAACTTCTACCTCCTCAGTGCACTTTACAACTTGTGTCTTTAAATAACTGGTAACAGCACTTATGTACTATACTGTTGCAGGGACTTAAGAAGGTTTCTTCCTGTGACAAACCTAACTGCAGCTTTTCCATATTTGATTACGTATTGGGGATTACTGTCAAGACTTGTAGGGGTATGAAAGAACAACAATGGAATAAATGTTCCATGAATTGTTATGGGCTGTGGATATATCCAATTCTGCTTACTAATTAAAAAAAAATAAAAAATAAAAAATCAATTTGATGCTTTGTGGAAAGCAGCATCTTCTCTTAAAATCTTATCTGTCTTATGAAAAAACACCTTTGTTTCTCAGATTTGGTGCTGTTTTGTTCTTGATCTGCTTTGTGTATTACCATTACCATTTTCTAACGACAGCTCTCTCCCACGATCACTGCAGCGAACATCTCCTGTATGCCACACATGAATCTTCCTGAATTTCATTTTTGTATTTCCAGATTTCCAGAAGAGTGCAATGGAGACAGCAACAGGTTTTGCAAGAATGGGATTTATTTATTTCTTTGATCCATATTATTGTGTAATATGAAACTTGAATTTAGCCAAGTTTTGAACTTTGAACGAACTTTTACCTGTTTAAAAAAAGAATGTTGCTGAGCCTTTTCAGCATCACCAATCTTCTGGCTTGCCTGGGTGGCATTAGGTGAAGAATAATTGTCTTGGGCTGAAGATAAAATGTATAATATAATTAATATATATAAGTAACAAAGCTTATTTTTAATATATTGCTAAAACATATAATAAGAAAACATAAAACTAGTGGGAATTTTGACCTTGCTTTTGTGAAACTAATGCATCAGTGTCTGATTCAAGGGAAGCGGTTGCAATTCTTATGGAGTTCTCAAGGTGTTTGTCAGAGGTTTTTGATGAAATATTGCTCTTTCCCTGATTCATCTTTGAAAACAGGTTGTTCACAAATGTACCTACTGCCAAAAAGTAATGACAGTAATAAAGCATGATTGTGAAGCAAGGGATATTTTTCTCTGGTAAGTCAGGTCTTATAAAAGTCTAGTAAAAAGACATGATCAAATATTTATTTTTGTTGAATGTCTAATTGTAACTCTATAAATTCAATTTGAAAATTTGCAGCTAATGTATTTGTGTTGACATAAAATAAAAGTGAGACTATGCAAAAAAAATCATGATTTTTTAAGTCTTGAAACCTATTCTCAAATTTTTTCATTAGAAATGAAAGCAAGGGTGTATATTTTTTACTGCTCACAGGACTCTGTTTAGCCAGCATATCAAAACACATGAAATCATTCGCTATAAGTTGCGCTTGCCATAATTTAAGTTTCATTACTTTTTTTTTTTTTTTTTTTTTTTTTTCCCCCATTTTGTTATGGTTTAAAACAGATCAGGTGATTTTTCATCTTGAAGATGCATGTTCAACTCATTTAAATGAGCTGTCAAATCCACCAAAAAGGCGAACTATGTAAGCCATTTCTCATCTTCATCTTTAGGAACAATTTTTCTTTTTGATTCCATAAATGACTTGATTTCATTTTGCAAATTGTAATATCTTCTTAGCCATCTTCCTTCAGAAAAGTAAATGATGTCCCCATAATCAGCATCTATACTTCCAATGAACTCCTGTAATTGGCAACAATTCAGTCCATTGGTCTTTATGAAATTCAGAACTTTGATGATGATTTTCATGACATTATCTTTTTTTAAAGCATTTACACATAAATTTTCTTGATGTACATTGGAAGTTAAACCAAATATTTGGACAAAGTTAAAGAAAATAGCTTTAATGTAATTTTTTCTGTTTCATATGAATAAAGAGATTCATTTGTGTCCTCCAGTGGCACCAAAGAAGCCATTTCTTCAGTGACATTATATCCTTATGAATACCTCTAATGAAATTGGCAACTCGAGCAGTATCTGCTACATCAGTACTTTCATCTATAGTCAAAGTTTGAAATTAGTTGAAATTACTCTCCAAATTTATTTCTATGAATTTTCTTATTTCTCCAGTTTGCCTGGCTACAGTCTGGTGAGACAGATTGATTTTAGAAAAATCTGTTTTTATCAGGACACATCATATCTGCCATACTTGCCAAACCTTTATTAATTTACCATCAATAAACAGTTTTGATTTTTTTGCAATCAGATTTGCTATCTGTCATGGTTTTATGATTCTTGTTATAGGTATTCCACATCATAACATCATGTAAAGCATGGGTAATTAAAGAGTTAGTACTCCAGTTCCATTGACTGACAACGTTCCAGGTACCTGGTTCTCAGAAGAGAAGAATGACACATCCCAGAGGACTTCGCATTCAGAGGAGAAGATATGTCATGGAAGGAAGTCGCAGGGCTCTCTGTCTCGCTCACTGCCTAGCAGTGTGTGGATGTGCTCCCCAGCTGTGCGCCTTCGGTTCATGGTAAGGCTTTTGGTTTTGGACACTCATCTCTCTAATTTTATTTGATTTATTAGCCTCAATTCCAGTTGTATTGTATTATATTGTGTTATCTTGCATTCCAATATCATATTTAGTAAAATTAAGTTTCCTCCTTAGAACATTGCCACTGTTCTTTTTTTTTTTTGGG